AAGAAATCGTTAGCTGGCTGGTTGTGCGCTAACTACGTCCTCTTCGTAAACTAGTGCATTGATTTTTGACCTTACATGTCTTGATTATTTCCCTGCGACTTAATCCTATCTATTTCAAGCTATCCGTCGTGTAATTTATAAAACACGAAAAGTGTTTTCCAAAAAACTAGACATTATGGTAGACATAATGTAATTTATGACAAGGCATGATAATCACATGATAACTCGCTAGGCCAGGCTGTAGCAGGTACTGCAAATCTAGCCAATGAGGTTATTAGGGCTGTGTCAGGGTTAAGTAAGTATATCGAGGTATTTACCCAGTAATTCTTCCTTCTCTCCAACTCGGTCAGATCTCGAGCAAAATCTTTCCCTCCTTCTCCCCTTTCACCTGCCTGCAGGTTATTATTGTTAACGGTATTTCCTACTTCTTCTTTTTTCATTTTCTTATTTAGTTGTCACGGTAGTTTGTGGCGGATTTTTGTCGCCCAATTTTTTATTCAGTAGGTTAATCGGTTTACATATATCGATGTGCTGTGATTCTGTTTGCTTTGATTTCATTAAACCTGCCAAAACCGTGGCCAGATTTATCCAACACAGTTGTTTGTTTATATTTTAATTCTGTTCCTTATCGGAAAGTTCGTAACTGGAAATGAGAGCAGAGCTCGCGCAGAGTTAGGCCTTGTTTTGAACGCATGCCTTGATATAAATTAGAGTTAATAACATATTGCAAGCGAATAACTTGCACCATTTGACTGGATGACTTAATGCAGACTAAGAGCTCCATGAAGTGAATTATTTAATAAAACAGCAAAAAAATAAAAATTAATAATATCAACCTTTTGAGTTTATTGATCTGATAATACGTTTTGAGATTTGGTTTTCGTCCAACAATTTTGTTTCTTAAAATAACTTGAAAGAGACAGGACAGCGCCTACAATGATAGATGACATCCCTTACCCGTTATCCTCTCTTTCACTAATCTGTTTTTGTGCTTAATTACACTGCTGTTAAAAATGACGACTGTGCAACGAACCCTCAATTATGTGACGCTAATGCTGTTTGTAAAACATTGGAAAACTGCCATGGCTGCATTTGTAACAATGGATACACTGGAAACGGAAAAATATGCACTGGTGATTACTAACTACTTTGTCAAACACACATTATACGTTTCTGGGAAACTGCTTACCTACCCCTCCCCTAAGTCAACATTTTGCCCTAGGTGAAAAGTAAGAGTGTTAATGTTGGAAAACGTATAAGAAACGTATAATGATTTGGCTAACTTTTAATCCCCCAGTGTGAGGTAATCCATGACAGTCCCGGATTCTGGATTCCACGCTTTGGATTCCGGATTCCAGGTACTGGATTCCAGTCAGTCGAATTTGGATTCTGGATTTCACACCCTGGATTCTGGATTCCAGGTACTGGATTTCGGATTTCCTGTCAGTGGAACTTGGATTCGGGATTCAAATAATTAAGGGGATTCCGAATTCCTTGAGCTAGTTGACGGATTGCAAAGTCCAGGATTCCTGATTTCCGTAAGCAAACATTTCCTGGATTCTGGATTCCACCAGCAAAAAATACCCGAAAACGTTCCAAGATCCGGATTCCTTTACTTGGGGCGATAAGTTGTTGTTTTTCTATTTAATAATGCAGTTGTTATGACTTCCGATGACAAAATAATTGCTATAGAAAGAGGTTCAATACTTCCTTTTTAGATATTGACGAGTGTTCAACCAACAGTCACACATGTGATGTCAATGCCTTTTGCAACAACACAAGTGGATCTTACAAATGCAGCTGCAATCCTGGGTTCTTTGGAAATGGACAAGCCTGCTTTGGTAAAAATTATTGTCATTGTTGTCGTTGTTAGTCCTGTTTCTTAGCTTTCTATCACGCGTATGATTTGTCTGGTTTTGCTCAGTGAACCTTAACATGTCAAGCATTCTTACTCTTACTCTATTTCCAATGAAGCCGTGTTAAGGTACGTAAAATTGGGACAAGCAACATGGCCTTGATAGAAATAGCGACATAAGAAAGATGAAATGGCGACAAACGACATTAAGATGGGTAAAATACTGACAAGGACATGGCCTACTCTTCAAAACGCGAAACGATCACATTTGAAATTCATCTTAGGGACATACGTCGTAACCCCTCCCTCCCCCCCCCCCCCC